GCCGCGTGCCGCCCTCCCTCCTGTCGCTGCCTTTCCTCCCCCTGGCTCTCGCCCTACCTCGTGCTGCCTCGTGCTGCCTCTCCGCTCCTGCCCTCTCCACCCCTTCCGGCTCCCCCTTGCCTTCCCTGCTCTCCCTTCTCTCTGTTTCTTACTCTCGTCTTCCCTCACTCGCGTCCCTGCCCTCGCGTCCCCGTCCCCACCCTCTTCATCTCGTTTCTGATTGCTCCCCCTACCCATCCTTTCTTTCCGCCCTAATGTCCCTCGGGTAAGTGTCCCCCTTTTCATCCTCTCACTCCTACCGCAGAGATGCACCAATAACAACGGACCGACAACGTCAGACGACGACGCCAACCCCGAGCCCAGCAATGAAGCGACGAAGGCAAGGTGGTGGGGACGCCCCCTCCTTGCTGACGTCCCCGATGGTGCTGAAGAAGGGGATTTGTACGGAGGGGGACGCCCCACCATGCATATCGCTCGCACCGAAGCACCGACCAACTAGTCCTCACCGTCCTCGCCTTCCTCGCTGCCTTCCTCGCTCGCCCGCACTCAGTCCCCGACCGGCCCTGCCGCTCCCTCCCCTCAACCCCCCCTTTCCCCTATCCTTCCTATCCTAATACGCAGAGAACGAGCGCTGACTACATTTTTGTGACAGGAGACTCCCCGCCTCGCGTTCCCTTCCCTCTCTCGCGCCGACCCCTTTCCCCGACTGCCTTGTCCTTCCCGCCCTCCCCGCGCCCGCCCGCTCTCGCCCTCGTTAACCCCCATCCCCGGCTTTCTCTCCCGACCTGGCGCGCAAGAACGATCGCACTATGCTGGTGGGGACGCCCCCTGTATTGGTGTCGTCGGCGTCGAAGATCAAATCCGAGCTGCGAGGTCTCATTGGAGTGGTTTGGCAGGTGATCGGGTCCATCCCGGCAAGTTGTGGATGATGCATGAGAGAAGTTGTATCATGTTATCCATCCGTGTACATGTCATTCCTCTGTACAATACCACGGTTCCCTTCCCAAAAGAAAAGAAAAGAGATCCAATACTCAAACGATCCATTTGTACCCCTGTTGTTATTCATTATTTTGATTTTTATTATGTTTGTTATTATTATTCAGTTGGGTACATTAAATGCCATCAGCTGTGAAGGTGAGAGAGCATATGAGCGCAGATATTTTTCACTAGTGAGTGGAGTTGGCCGTCACGGCGAGAGATGCATCCTCGACGAGAAAGCAGGATATGCCGAGCACCACCTCTCATCTCGACCGAGGAGAAGACGCAGGATATGAAGGATTGCCAATCGGAGCGAGCCTCAAACTACCCGTGGGGGCGGGGCTGATGAGGGAGACAGGATTCCGAGTCGAGCAGAGGACAGGGACACTGTGTCTTGCACGTATGAAGCTCGACTCAACAAGGTGGGCTGCGGAGCTCGAGAAGCGAGGCTCTCAACCTTCCCTGACACAGTCAGGGAGGAAGAGTCGACCGAGGAATCGACAGACCAGTCTTTTCGCCGCTCAAGTCAGCTTCTGTGCTTAACATGGCATAATGCCAGAGCTCGGCCCGTTACTCATCAGAACCCCACAGTACTACCTATGTAACCCTCATACTGGGACGGACGCTGTCTCGTGGACTTGACGCCTCTCTGTCTGTTCTTCCTGCGCCTAAATCAGTGTCTTTGGTACCTGAATGGATATAATGGATACTGTCGATAACTGGATTGTCAGTGACGGACATTAGCCTTGCTAGTGTCACGGGACGACGTCTCCTTTGTCTGCGGATCAGTCGATATTGTCAATATTGTGTGCATATGCTTGTCCGCAATGGCTAGACGAGACATGACCGGATACCATCTACGCATGCGCGTCGTCGCTATCCACGTCGACAATGATGTCTGAGACAGATGGTCAATGGTCTCGCATGCTCCATGTCGCGCCTGCCACTCACCACAAACCGTTGGTGTACATATATCATCTTTTCTGGCGTCAAATGCGGAGCACTCTTTTCTCTGTCGTCCTTCTCACCTCAATCCTGCTGTCATTCACAATGGTATTCCCCTCCGAGCCCTCGGCGCGCTATGAGTACCCTCGGTCTGGCATCCCACCCAGCAGCTCGATGTCATTCACGAATCTTGCCGCTATTTCCGAATGCAAATACGGTGAGGACGAAGAGTGCAAGAGCGACCAGGAGGTATAATCTCTGGCATCTCGAGCTCAACTTCAGCTAACTGAATACAGAAGGAAGGACTCGGCTACATGCACGCTCCCATACCGGATGCACTCGCGCTCTACTCCCCACGCTCATCAACGAGCAGCAGCTCCTCAAGCAGTTACTCCAATTCCTCCGCGTTATCATATCATAGCACTTCCTCCTTCCTCCTTCTCCCGTCCGCAAAGCTTGTCAGCGCCCGCCAGGACCTCCTACACCGGCTCCCCTGGTCCCGTTCCGCAAGCTTGCTCTGTTCCCTCCCTGATACAGGGCGACCCGGCGAGATCTGGCACGCGCCAAAGGAGTTCATTCCCCTGCATACGGTGCATCAGCAGATGGAAGCCCTTTCCGCGGTGGAGGGTATGACAAGTCAGGAGGGAGACGAGATGCATCTGACATCTCATAAAGCATGGCATCCTCGGCCGAGCAGGATGTCCCAAGTGGAGACGATCGAGGAGCTCGAACCTGAGTACCATACCCCAAATGCGGAAGATGTCGTCAAGCAGGCCGTGGAGGATATGGCGATCATGGGACTGGAAAGTGGGTGTAGGAGGGAGCCGCCTTCGGGTGGGGAGGTGAAGGAGAGGAACGCGAGATTCTCCGTGAGACGGGCGTTTGGGCTCTTCCAGGTTGCACAGACACAGGAAAGGAGCGGTGGAAGGGAGAGAAGCCAGACGATGTAGGTTTCCCTCCTGTCAATTCCGAGGCATCTGTATTCATCTTATGCAACCCAATCATGGTCCATGAGAGTACGCAATTGATTGAGTAGTGTACAATGACAATGAAAATAAGACAAACGCAAAGTAGCCAAGCTTTCGCTCATCTCGGTCCACGCATCCCCAAGAGCCCCTTAGCTTCCTTCTCAACAACCCGACAAGTTAAGCTGATTCTCTTCTCCCTCGGAACAGTCTCCCCCCTTTTCACCCTCCTGCTCCATTCATCGCCTAAGAGAGACAGGTTGGTGATATCTGCCTTTCCCAAATCATCTTCATCTACCGCCTCGATCGAGTGCGAGTACTCTTCGTACAGCTCGCCAGTGGTGATGACGAGCGAACGAGGCTCGAGGAAGAGCGAGTACGCAGGGACGGACGAAAGCGGTGCGTGATACTGCATCATCCCGTGTCCTCCAAGAGACAGGGTAGCGACAGCAGGGTAGTAAGCCGGTCCATCTTTATGTGCCTTGCACCCGGATCAGCCTCAGACTCCCGAGAAGAGAGAAAGCGCAGCGCACGAAGATCCCCTGCCCCGGAAGGTACTCATTCACAATCACGTGGTTAGGTTGTCTCTGTTTTGTTTTTGCGAAGATGTCGGTGCGACCGATTCGGGACATGAGATCCGGGCTGTTTAGAGTGTTGGAGTCCGATCGAGAGGATGCGGGGAAGGGGCACACTGGTCAGTCAGCCATGGAGGTAGAGGTTGGGACAGGAGTGCATTAGATCGCGTCAGTTCGCCACCTAGAACGCAAGGAAAGCGTGAGATCCGAGTTGTGGGTTTAAGATAGATAGAGCTTGTGCCCTTACCCCATACTTGTAATCTCCGACCATTGAGCGTTCTCCATTTCCCCTTCGGCGCGCTTTCAACCTAGATATCAACAGATCTAGATCAGCACTTGACTAGGCGCACAGGCTTTGAGCATTACTCACCTTTCTCATCAGGTATTGTTCCTCTTCACGAGTTACGAAGTCGCGGATGTAGAACAACGGCAATCCAGGCACTTTATATAGATCTAGATCGAATGGAACGTTTCCAACAGTCTCACTACCAACAGGGATAGGAACGCCGATCAGACGTTCGGAATCAGGCAATCGAGCAGATGGTGATGGAGCAAAGTTGGGAAATGAGATTGGAGGGTCTGAGTCTTCCATGTTTGCTGTGACGGAGCAAACAGTTTCAAATATTGATGGTGAGAAAGTATGTGATCCGATGCAGGATCCGGCACCTGGGACGTTTTACAGTTGTCGACCGTGGCGCATGGTTTCCTATCACGTGATAGAATGAGTGCCGCCGCCGTGTTTCTTTTGGCTCACAGCCTCATCCCATCATTGGCGTTGGACATTGTCACAAAAGTGGACTGCGCTGGATCACAGAAGGGAATCCTGCGGGGATATGCATTCATGGCGTAGTGAGTAACGTCTGTTGTGACTAGTCCCATGTACAGTATGTTCACACTGCAAGTTGCTTCGCAAGGGTCGACAGAGCCTCCGCCCGACGGCCACCACTTGCATCCCCCTGGCACCAGCGAGCGTCCACTCAATTTACCTCAAAATATACCAGGAGCGATCCATGGAGTGTGGGATGGTGTGCGCAGTGTGATAGGTGCGCACGGCGATTATTACGGGAACGCTCATTGTCGCTTACTTCCGCTGCTCCCACCTTGCCAACATCAAGATCACTTTGTGAAGAATGTCGAGTCGTCGCCCGCCACCGCCGGCCCATTTTTTTCCACTGGCCATCTGCGAGCGTCTGCTCAAACTGCCTCAAACCCTGCCAGAAGGGAGCCAAGGGGCGTGGGAGGCTGTGTGGAAAGTGTCAGGTGCGCACGGTCATTATTATGGAAACGCCCAACGTTGTTTCCATCTGTCCTCGATTGATACGCACTGTCTTTGGGGCTGGATTGGTCCAAATCCGAGCTTTCTCCATGTCTATGTCTGATAATATCATGATACAGTTGGTGGCCAACCACTCCGATCTGGCCCGGCATCGTCTTCTCCCGTATCTCCGGTTCAGCTGGGTGGACACAGGAAGCACTGACCAAACACGATAGATTTTCCATTTGCTCGCCACGCGGGACGTTTGACTGATCATGAGTAGAAACGCGTTCAACACTGGAATGAAATATGTCCTGCCTGGATATAAACACCTCCCGAGAGGCGCAATCTCGGTCAGTTTGAATCAGATGACTTGGCCGGCGGAAAAAAAAGTTTACAAAGGCTTCTAGAGAGAAGGTACCCCGGTATCGTTGAGCTTTGGAGTTCCTCCACTGTGAATCTCTCCATTGCATTCGAAAAATAGACGACATGTTCATTCGGCGTGCCTTTCTCCAGCTACATGTACTGCAGATCTAGAGTCGCGTAAAATATGTAATGAGTTCCCATCCCCCAGCAATAGCGTGGGTGCGACCAACGTCAGATGTGTTCATAACATCATCTTGCCGGTTCCGACGGGCACGGAGTCGAAGTCGAACGGCAAGGATGACGACAGCGCACGGTTGGCATGGAGGATTGATCCTGCGTAGCTAGAGGTCTGAATTAGGCGGGTTGCGATTGCAGTATACGTAGACAGCGAGCCTAACAGTTCCAAAACAGAGCCATTATTAAGAATTGCGAACAGGCCCACTGCTGGCCTGCCTCAAAGAAAGGCCTAGGTAACGTAAGCTCAGGTCCAGTGGGGTAGAACAAAGAACAAAGAGACGTCGACAGGGCCGCGGGGATCAGGCACCCAACCAGTTTGGGCCATCAGAGCCGCCCTGACAACGCTTGTGAGCCGGAGACGACTGCCGGGTTCTTGTCATGTGAAAACGTGTAAACTGCTGCATATGCTCGTGTGCTTCGAATTCCTTCATGCATCTGCCTGACAAAGCTGTACCAGTATTTGGGGGGCCGCAACGAACCGGTTGGGCCAGCTCGAAATGCCATACGCATGGAAGGATGCCCGGTATTGTCGGCCATCCCCCCTTCTGACCATCATCATCATCATCATCATCATCTGCTGCCTTGGCCACTGCACCGGACTGCTGGTGACTACAGATTGCGCTCCTTTCCTTACGCTCGTTGGTTTCCTTGTCGGCAAACTACTGCCCTTCCGGGTGTACACTCGTTTAACACTCTACCTAGAACTAACTAACTAGTACGTTCTGTCCCGTCGTCTTCTCACGATTGGAAGTCGCTCATAAGCTCCGCTCCTAAGAATGCTCATCCTACTGTCTTTACTCCCTTTGCTTTCCCTTGCCCAGGGGCAGGGGTACATACCCTCCATCCTCGGAGCGAACAACCTCACTTCCCCGGGGTTCTCCCTTACTCCAACCAGCGTTGTCAGCTTCAAGTTTCCCAACACCATTACAGGAAACGGATGCGGTACCCTCCCCTCCGGAGAGCCGGTAGACATCCCCCACTCTCTCGCCCAGGCTGCAGGAGCGGGTCTGCCAATGGTAGCGAGGAACGGCTCGGTGGACTTTGTATGGCGCGGGCGGGGGTCGGTGTGGACTACCCAGTGGGACCCGACGGGTACGGGCGAGGGATGGCTAGACCTCGGGTTCTCCATCCTGCAGCTGGGGTAAGCATCTCCTGCCCCTGCTCCTGCTCTTGACGCTAGCTGAAAGAAGAAGGTCAACGGACGGGGATCAAGTGCTTAGCGTCCGCCTCCCTCAGTGGGCGAAGTGCACCTCCGGGCCAGAGGAGAACGCCTGCCTTCTTAGGGCGTTATTCACTGGCTCGGGCGGGACGTATGGGGGATGTATGGCTGTGAGGGCGTATGATGCGCTTGCTGTGGGGGCTGAGCCTGAGGAGGATGCGGGAGATGATGATGAGGAAGTCGTTGAGCCTGTGGAGCCTACGCCTGTCCTTGCACTTGCCCTCGCTGCCAGGCCAAGCCCGTCAAAGGTCTTAGCTGCAGGTGGGTCCCAGCCGTCGGGCATGCAAAAGCGGAGCCTGAATGCACACGTCCTGCGAGGAGCGGGGAACAGACAGGCGAAGGGTGTGAGGATGAGGGGAAGGGGAGGGAGCGCTTGGAGTTTTGCTAAGAGGTGGAGGAAGTGAGGTGCCTACACGTAGAGGTTGTGCACTCGCGGACGGACGGATGGATGGAAGGAAGGAAGGAACGACAATGTGCGATGGGCGACGGACGTCTTATACCCCCTTTCTGACCTTCCGGACTCTTACATTAATGCGTATTTTATTCCTGCGGACTAGATTGTTGTGCTCAGGCTCTGCTGTGATGTACATGATGGGACTGGGTTCGATTGGTGCTATGAGAGGATACCTAATACAGTCCAGTCACTCTTTAGGAATGCGTGCTCCCTTCCACCAAGCTCTGAGAAGCCGGAAGCCAAGAATGCATCCCTCGAGCAAACAGGCCACCATCCGCTGTACTTCGCAACAGGCTAAGAGAAGCGAGTAAGCTCTGCAAGTACCCGAATGTGGAGAGGAACTGCAGCTCTTTCCCATTGCTCAACGCGTGGCGTGCACTAGCTTACCAGGGTTACGGTAACCTGCGGCTTCTATTCGCTCTTTCCTATACTAGTACTTACATCGGACCAGAGCATCGAGGCTAGCAAGTCGGGAACCTCTTTTCGTACGCAGATCCGAACGGAGGGAGGAGGATGACGTCGGCAATTGATGGTATTTGACGAAAAAGCAACTCCGTGCGCTCAAGGAATCAGGTCGTGGAACGAGCCACCTGGGCCGTCGTCTGGCCGTCGACGGGGAGGCATTGGGCGGAAGTGAGAGAGAGGGATGTATTCCCCCTGATGACGCGAAGCTCAGGCAAATGCAATTTTAAACTCTTTCGGCTCCTCAGAACGCTGGATGTCTGCGCAGCTGGGTTTCTCACGAGCTGCTGCCTCGTTGGGTTTGAGTCTAATTCGGACAAGCATTTATCGTATGATGACGATGAGCTGGGGTTGAGGAAGAGAGAGGGGGGTAGGAGCTGCATATGCATTCCGAGGCAGCAAACGAGATGTGTGTCATACGCTCTAAATGAAGGGAAGATTCAAGCAAGGGATCAGTTAACGTTTACCAGCATTTGCCATATCTCGTCATATCAGTCAAAGAGGTCAGAAGTGAGTTATGAAGGAAGTGGATCGGATGAGCTAGTCACTCGTCTTAGGAAGCTCTGTTCGCTTCCGACCGGAGATGCGAGAACCCCAATATGAGACGGGTGATTTCCGAACTGGTCTCACTCCGCCGATGTGCACTCATGCACTAGGATGTCTGTGTCATGCTCGTCTGTTCTGTGCGTCATTCGTATGTGATGACATCACTTGTGCGTAATTGATGCAGTGAACGTTGCGGGTATAAAATGAGATGAAATTGTCTCTGCTGTTCGTGTGCGATACCCGCGTCAGGATGCATGCACACAATCGCAGTCATTCGTTCCCCTACACCCGACCCAGCACACATCCGTGCACACTCTCACATCTCCAAGCACTCACTTCAGCTCATCTATGTTCAAAGAGACTTAAAAGCATAAGGAAGCGGCTTCCGTTCCTTATCCTTATCGCGCTCTTCTCTGCGGTGTTCCTCTTTCCTGACACGCGTTCTGTGGAGCAGAACTTCTACGGACTGGAAGACGGGAAGAAGATGGCTCGTGCTCTTAACTCGCACGACGAGGTGAGTCTTTCTACCCCCTACAGTGCTCAACTCACGTGCACTAGTCTACACCACCCGTGATACCCTCGTCCAGGCCGACCACACCCGACCTCTCGGACGACACATCTGATGAGGACGCAGACTCCCTCGGAACGGAGAGTGATGTCCCCAAGGAGGGGGAAAGTGATCATTTGCTCCTCTTGCCCCAGTTGCGCAGGACGCAGGGGTATGGAAACCTCCGTGCGCGCTCGAAGAGGGACGCACTGGCACTTCACTCTGACTCTGACTCGGGCTATGTCGAGCTGTACGTCCCTCGTCCCTGTCCCTCTGACTCGGGGCTGTACTGACTTGAACTTGGAAAAGGGACGACGTGGTACGATCTCCTGATTGCCCACTTTCGCCTATCCCAAAGGAAGAAACACGGTCCCTGCCTATCCTAGATGGGTCATACTACCCGGATATCTTCCCCGTTACCGACACCTCCGAGGATTTTGTCGACTCTTCCCCCTCTACACCTGACGACTTCCCTTTTACGTCCTTGGATCCCAACCCCGCCCCTTCCTCCTACGACGACGACGACCCCGGCTCCCCGCTGCCCGACCTGCCAGACTACCCTCGCCCGGAAGACTTCGCCGCAGGAGAAGAAGGGCTGGTCTACATCACTCTCCCCTGCCGGGTGCATATCTCTGGTTCTATGTCCCTGTCTACCGATCCCTATTCCGAAGATGGGGGGGTGACGTCCTACGAGCTTGAGCACGAGTACCTGGAGATGATGCAAGAGGAACAGACCGCGCGCGTGGACGACGACGATGCGGACGCCGACGATGATGACGATGACGAGCTCACCCAGTTAGAGCAGTTAGAGCAGCTGGAGCAAGAAGGACCGAGCGCGGCCTGGTCCCGCTTCACACTTGTTCTCCTCGCTTTGGCAGTCTTCATTCTCCTCGGGGCTGTCCTCCTCCCCCGGGAGAGGTTTTAGCGCAAAGCGAAGCGGGAAGCGTAAATGGCAAAGCGGGAAGCGGAGATCTTTTTCTGGGTCTTAGGAAGCGTTTGACGTGATTGTGTCAAGTGATGGTGAGCAAGTTAGTGATAGTGATGTTGTATTTTACTCTTTTTTCTCTTTCCTGAGATGATTTGACGATTGCGTACCTCCATTAGATTAGAGATTAGCTGCGAATGATCATGATCTGATCTGATCTGGTGCACTCTCTCTCTGGATGCACTTGAGCGAATACTGCACGCAGATTATAAAAAAGCCAGTACCGAACTGAACTGTATGAGATCGGCAGAGACGCTAGTCCTAGTGCGTGTTCTGGATGGCGTGTCTGACCCACGAGGTATTACGTAGTGAGCTGGTGTTCACGTAGTACTTACGCAGGTGTGGGATAAGGTATCTGTGATAGGTGACGGGAATAGCTAATCATACAAACTAGCTCGAACTGGTGCAAAAAGTAATCCAATCATACCAAATTTCCAAAGCAATCGACCCGAACCCGAACCCACGCCTCCTCATCCTCCTCACCCGGGTCACAACGTAAGAAGCTAGGCATACAGTACATACATGTCCGAAGCCCGTCTTCTTGCCTCGCGTCTTCCGTCGCCGTCGCTCGGGCAGGACAGTGCGCAGGACAGTGGGTAGCGGTCCTTGTGCTATGTATAAGTGCTAGAAAGTGCCCTGCTGGAAGGGTTGACGTTTTGGGTAGAGGCGTGCAGAGGCGGGGCTTGGGCTTCTGTCCTCAGGCAGGGGTAGGAGCGGGGGAGGGGAGGGGGAAGGGGAGGGGGAAGGGGAAGGGGAAGGGGGAAGGGGAAGAGGGTTATGATGTGTAGTACAGAGTGCGGAAGGGCGGAGGATAAGGAGGTTCACAGGTGGGAAGGGTTTGGAAAAAACTTGCATGCACGTGCGGCTGTACCCCTCCCTCGACTGCTACCTTCCCACGTGCGGCACGGAGCTGATTGGTTGACCGCGACCATTGTATCTGAACCGATCTGACGTTGCTGTACGAAAAAGATAAGAATTCGGACAGCGAGGGATTTGGTGCTAGTGTCCCCTGCGAGTGTCCAGTGCGAGTGTCCCGTCTCCTGGCACCCAACCCATCCGATCCGGTCCAGACTGATAGCCATCCGCCGTCCATGAGTCTCACGGCTTTGTCCCATGCCTGGAGTTTTTCCTTGGGAGAGAGGCAGGAGGTTTGACAAGGGTGTACAGCTAGAGCGAGTGCAGAGATTTATCCTGCGTGCTGGGTGGGCGGGGCTTGGGGAATGTGATGAGGTAATACTGTAACGTGCATGAGTATCATATGTGCGACGCAGATTCGAGACGTGTGGCAATGACCGAGGGTTGATGGGATCATTGCTGGAAGACTTGGAAGTACGAGTACTGTGAGAGGCACACTGAACCGTCGGAGCTTGGATGAAGACACAGACCCCGATGGCATGCCGTTAGGGTGGAGGATGATCGCTGTCGAGCCAAAGCGGTCTGCAACACTCGCACTCGGTTGACATTTGCTTCATCTCCTTTCGTGGATCTACTGGTCCCGTGAGTGGTGCGAGGCTTTGATAGTGATGTGTGGGATGATGAGGCGGTTCTTGGACAGTTTGATGAAAGAGTGCGATTCTTGTGTCATCTCACCTCGACGAGCCTTGGGTGTGCTGGAGACACTATGTCAGCCCATCTGCCAACCTGCAGCGAAGAAGACAGACAAACACTTGGCAACAAAAACCTCGACCCATTCTCCGTGTCCCCGAATGCCCTCTCTAACGTCTCCCTCCCCTCCTCAGCAACTCTGATCCCAGGCGGCTGCCTTATCAACCTATTCTCCAACAACCCTTGCATTCCTCGTCGCCACCGAATCGTCCGCGTGCACCCTGCTTGTCTTCGACGTGTTTTCCGAGAGGTTTATACCCGTGTACCCGTGTGAGGCCTCCACTGTGTCGCCGGTGAGAAACGACCAGTGACGGGAATGGGAAACGGGCGAGGGCGGAGACGTGCTTTGTGCATCGAACAAGAACGGCGTGATACTGGTGCACCACCCGCACTCGTTGACTCTTGCGCGTTGTTCTGCTACTCATATATCCCGCAAGTGCCGAGTCGATCTTCAGAAGAAGTCGCTGAATACCCGTGGGAATAGGTCCAGCACTTGGTACGGCTCCGAGGCTGTCCAGATGCCGAGGTAGTTTGCAAACTACGGGATCTCAGCAGGCCTGTTTGTTGAAAGACGAGCCGGACGGATCCGAGCGCATGCCAGAGCGGCTCAACACCCACTATGCACTCTACGAGAATGTCGCGCGGCTGCAACACAAGCGTACCCAAGGATACTATACACGTCCGAGTCAGTAGACAGGTGAGAGAGAGACGCAGGGCAGTGAAGGAGAAGGTAAGCAGTGACTGCACACTGGACCCTGATTTGTTGTTGACGGAAGCATCGCCTTGTGCCTGACCGGATTTGTGTCATTCAGGGTTAGGCGCCGATTATCCGCTTCACTTGTCCTTTCCTTCTTCTCCTCCTCCTACTCCTTCTCCTCCTCCTCCTCCTCCTCCTCCTCCTCAATATTCATAACAATGTCCTGCTGTGGAGAACCAAGACCAAATCAGAATGCTCCAGAAAACCGTCAAGCTCCAACAGGCTACAATCCAGCCGGACCGCCTATCACCCAACAACCAGGCATGCAGATGGGAATGAGCAACACTCAGATGGGCAGCGCAATGGGTATGACTGGGATGAACGGTGCACAAGGGATGGCAACGGGGATGCAAGGTCAACCGCAGCGGTTGCAGGGGTACAATACTCAGCCTTTCACGCCTGACCTTCCACAACCTCCAGCGCCGGCTCACCAAATTCCCGGTCAACCAAGCGCCAGCCCGTTCTCACCTCAACAGCAGCAGACGCAGCTCCCCAACTCCAAGAGCAGTGGTTCTATCTGGGGTCAGGCACGACAAGTCCCAGGTCAAGGCATGGGCGGCATGGTTAACCAGTGGGGACAACCTTCTCCCCCTCTTACTGGCGCTGCCGGAGTAGCTTCACCCTCCATGCGCGGTGAAAGACCATACGACACTTCCATCCTCAGCGGAACCCTTCCCCCTTCTCCCCCTCCATCAAACTACAACCCCGGGGCAAACGGGCCTGGCTTCGCACCCTCCCCGACTCCACTGCTGGACCCGTCTATCGCCCGCCCTACGCCTATATACCCCGGGAGGCCGATGAGCGGTATGAGCGGGCACAGCGGCGGACCTGGAGGTGGGCAGGCTGCGATGCGAGTCAGCGTGACGGGCGCGGCGGAGTCGAGGCCGTTTAACCCCATGCCGGAAGATGGACGGCTAGTTATGAGCCTGGACTTTGGTACTACCTTCTCAGGTGTCGTACGTGCCCTTCCTCCCATCCCTACTCACCAAGATTGACATGCTCTCGAGGCATACGGCTCTACGCGCATCTCGAACGGCTCGACGCAGATGGTACTCGTCTGGCCCGGCTCGTTTGAGCATTTCCGCAAGATCCCCACCTGTCTCTTGTACGACCAGGCCGGCAGAGTCCTCTCCTGGGGATTGGAGGCGAAGAATGCCCCCCCGATGGAGGGGAGGACGAGGTGCGAGTGGTTCAAGCTCTTCCTCGAGCCTAAGGCGTTGCGGGACGAGGGATCTGTCGATAACCGGCTGCCGAGGTTGCCTGTGCGCTTCTTTTCATGGTCGGCAGATATCCGCTAACATGGAATGTACAGCGCGGTAAATCGGCTACTGATGTTATAACGGACTTTTTGACTTGCATCTGGGAGTACGCGAAACAGCAGATCGGGAGGGAAATCGGTGCTGTCGCCGACCTCGGTGCGTCCCCCTTCTGTAGAGAAGTACGGCGGCTGACGTACATCAGAGGCCGCCGACGTGTGGATCACTGTGCCCGCCGCGTGGGATGCGGCAGGGTGCGCAAAGATGCGCGATGCTGCGATCGCTGCTGGGCTCGTGCACGCTACCAAAGCCGACGACGAGACCTGGCGAGAGAGGCTGCGGATCATCACGTGCGTCCGGGTAGCCTGCTTCTCAAGCCAACTGACCCTCTGCCAGGGAACCCGAAGCAGCTGCAGTACACTGCGTGGCCCTGACCGATCTGCACCATCTCCGTCCCTCGCAAAACTTTATGATCTGTGATGCTGGCGGAGGAACGGTCGACCTGGCGGTGTACAAGCTGATCGGGCAACTTGCTCATCTGGAGATCGCCGAGATCTGCGCGCGGTCCGGTGCGAACTGCGGCAGTCTTTTCCTCGACCTGAGGTTCAGGGAACTGGTGAGGGCGTTGCTGGTGGCGCATCCGGCGCATTTGGACCAAGCGAGCTTGGCCTATTTTATGCATCACTTTTCCGAGGTGGAGAAGCTGGCGTATTTGGGAGAAGAGGACGATAGTGGGTCTGTTTCGTGCCGTTTTTGCTCAGGGACTGACAGATGTGCAGATAAGATGTTCCAGTTTACGTGTTTTAACGTCGAAGACCAGGATGACCCTTCTGTCGGTCTAGTGAACGGAGAGCTAACGATCCCCGGCAACCTCCTCCGTCAAGAAGTGTTCGACCCGGTGATCGACCAAGTTCTCCAGCTTATCGAAGACCAAGAACGGCGCGTGAACCAGCGGATCGATGCGCTGCTCATGGTTGGGGGCTTTTCCGGCTCTGAATACCTTCTCAAGCGCGTGGAACAACGTTTTGCGGGGAAGATGCGTGTGGTGCGCCCTGCGGATGCGGACGTCGCTACTGTGAGAGGGGCGGCGCAGTACGGACTGGCGCGGCGGCCACTTGTGCAGAGCGTGATCGCCCCCAAGGCGTATCTCATGAAAGTGAAGCTTCCTGCGGAACAGGAGGACTGGAACAAGCGGCCAGCGTATATCAAGAAGAATGATGCTGGCGTGGATATCTGTGAGAATCGCTTGCAGTACCTCGTTCAGAAGGGGGCGATCCTCCTCAAGGGCCAGAGGATAAAGACGATGTTTTGCAAGTTCTCAAAGGTGGCGGATGGTGCGTCGCTTGCGTTAGGCATGGGCGGTCACTGACCCCCGCCTTTAGACCGGCTGTTCACGGCCGTGCTGTATACGTCAGATGCGGACCGAGTGATGCGCTACACAGACGAGGGGGAGACGACAGAGTTGTGTAAATGGACGGTAGATCTGTCTGTGCTACCGTCCTTCCAATGGGCGGCGCAAAACCACGGCTCGACGGGGTTTTATACCGAGTTTGAGCTTGGGCTCGAGCTGGACAGTGCCGAAGTCAGGGGGGTGCTCATGTGGGAAGGCAGGGAATGGGGAAGCACTGTGTTTGATTTCCTGAATTAGGACTGTTTGGTACTTGACCTGTGTTCGGCTTTTCTTGATCGTTGTTTGTGCAAGTTGGTAATCGGTATTTGTGTATGGCTTGTGCGTGGAGATGTGTGCTCATGAGTGTGTCAAATGAGCAAATCTGTTATATACGAAATAGACCTTGATGAGTCACGGATGCTCGCGGCTGATATGGTGTGCAGGGGCGGCAAGAGGAATGCATGTCTACTGGTAGGATCCAAATAGCCCATAGCAAGCGAAAGTTGGGTGTGTCGGAGAGCGAGGGGTGGATGAGCACACGTGACTGGACGGGCGGTACATCGGCCGAACCCTTACAGTAGATAAGCACTTTGCGCAACTCTCCTCTCTCCACTCTCTGGACAGAGATGGCAGACCAGACCACAGAGGCGCTCTATGCCGCCCTCGAGTGCATCAGGGAGGATACTCTTCATCGTTCACTCTTACCTCCATTCAGAAAGTACAGGAAGACAGCTTGGTTCCAGAACTGGGCAGAGACGTTCCGCTGCACACCCCAGGCGGTATTCGCACCGCGCGACTTCGACCAATGTAAGAGCATACTCGAGCTCGCAAAGAGGGAGGGAAAGCGCTTGCGGGCGATGGGGGCGAGGCACTCCCCAAGCGATCTATGGTGCACGAATGAGTGGATGATCAGGATGGACCGTATTGACCGTCTGATCGTGGTACGCCTCATCTGCTCACATGGGAATTTACTCACCCCCGCAGTGGGATTCGCCGAAGAATTCAATCGTAGCTCCAGCAGGGATGACTCTCCACACACTCCATCGCAAACTCGGAATAAACGGACTCGCAATGCGCAACGTCGGCTCTATCTCTGACCAGTCAATTGCCGGGGTCATCAGCACAGCGACGCACGGCACTGGCTGGGACTTTCCCGTCATATCAGGCGACGTCCTTTCCCTCACCATCCTCCTCGCCAACGGGGAGATCGTCACCTGCTCGAAAGAAGTCCAGCAAGATCTCTTCCTCGCCTCCCTCTGCGGACTCGGGGCGACAGGATTGATACTCTCAGTCGAACTCCAGCTCGAGCGAAGTTTCAAACTCCAAGAGTCAAGGGAGAGGCTACCCTTTGAAATCGTCCTCAAGTCCCTCGACCTCTTCGCCCCTGCTTCGGAGCACACGCGCATCTGGTGGAATCCCCAAGCAGACACAGCGATGCTCATGCTCGCTTCCCGCTCGTCTGCCCCTCTCAGCCCCGCAAAGTCCTCCTGGTTCTGGGGCACCGTCGTCGGCCATTGGTACCTCGAGTTCCTCCTCTGGCTCAGCCTCGCCTACCCGGATCTGACGGGCTGGATCGGCCGCTTTGCCAGTGGTCTTGACGCGAAGAAAGTCGTCGTGGTCGATCAGAGCTGGAAGATATTTAACCTGGACTGTCTTGTTCGTCCCCTCTTCCTCTTCCCCTTCCTGTTTTGCTCAACCCAGCCCCTCCTAACGTCCCTCTGTTTCCCAGTTCCGACAATACACGACCGAGTGGGCTCTCCCTGCCTCTCAAGCTCAATCTGCGCTCTCAGCTCTCCGCGCCCTCCTCGCTACCGAAGCAAAGAAACCGCACGGTCTCCGTCCGCATTTCCCGATCGAGATCCGCTGGTCCGACGCGGACGAAATCTGGCTCAGCCCGAGCTACGGGAGGAAGACCTGCTGGGTAGGGATCGTACAGTACAAGTGCGTGGAAATGGACGGATGTACTAGACAGGCTCAGGGCTGACTGGCTCACAGACCGTACGGTATCGACGTCCCCTGGCGAGGTGTCTTCGACGCTTTCGAATCGATCATGCTATCGCACGGGGGCCGTCCGCACTGGGCCAAGCTGCATCCACTTACCCCCGAGCAGTTGGGGGAGATGTACCCCCGTTTCGCCGATTTTAAACGGTTGCTAGAGAGAGTCGACCCAGAGGGGATATGGAGGAACGAGTATGTGAGGAGGCACGTGTTTGGCGAGTGGGAGGGCCAGGGCGCGGACGTGTATTCGAAGAGAGTGCCGCGTTAGAGTCGGACGGGCATGTTCGGAAAGAGCGAGTGGAAAGAGAGGGAGTGGGAGGAGACGGAGCGCTAACGACTAGATATAGGAAAATCCGTGTCGAAGAATGAATTTATGCACACTTGCTGGGTGTTACAAGGGGTGAATGGACCTAGACGACAAGGGAATGGGTTTGAATAAGCACTTGAACTTGTGGACCGGTCCTCTTTACGTTGTAGCGGGCCACAGGAAAATTTGGACACTGCCACCTAGGGTGTAATTCACATTATTTAAATAAATCCTTGTTTGTGTATAGTTAGACAGTTTGGTCCATGGATGTTACACAAGCGGTTATACTCCCCCCACGGGAGATACTCAGGCAGTATGAAGATATTAACATTGCAGGTACACTTTGAATATTCTTTCATAAAGCATATCTAATCCCATTAGCACCCATGGTCCGATATTCAAAGCGTAAGCCTCATCCTCACCTCGTTCGATGACTCACACCCCCCAACAGTCCCGTTCCGCCACCTTGTCTCCCTCTACGACGTCCACATTACTCACACACCTATGATACTAGCTAGAGAGTTCTCACGCTCCTCAATTGCACGCTCAGCAGATTTTTCATCGTCGCATCACGAGCGAGGCCTCTTCCTGCTACGTCCTAAAGGCGGCAAACAACCTACACTCGTCCGAGGCGCCCTCGTCGCACAGTTCGCTGCTACCGAACCCAGACACCTCGCCGACGCAGCAGAGCTCATTTCACCTTGGGTGGACGGTATCGATCTTAACTGCGGATGTCCCCAGCCCTGGGCATACACCGAGCACATTGGCTCTTGGCTCCTTCGCAAGCCAGAGGTCGTGTATGATCTTGTGAGGGCGACAAAGGACCGCCTTGGCTGGAACTTTTCGGTGTCGATCAAGATACGCGTTGATGAACCCAAGCAGACTGAGCGCCTCATCCAGACTGGTACTTCGCATCATGTCGCACTGCCCTTGGCAGCACTTCTGACTTCCTGCTAGCCATACGAGCCGGAGTCGACTACGTCACAGTCCATGGGCGAACCAGGCATCAAGCGTCGACTGCTCCCGTCAACTTACCCACGATTCGGTTTGCCGTCGACGCTGCAAAAGGCGAGGTACCCATTGTTGCTAACGGTGATGCGTGGAGCATGGAAGACGTCCTCCGCATTCGCACGGAGACCGTTGCTCAGGGAGTGATGAGCGCCCGGGGACTACTTGCTAACCCTGTGAGTCCCTTCCTCTGTCGGAGTTGTATCAAACGTGAGCGGGCTTGAGCAGGCCTTGTTCGCCGGCTATCGGTCGACTCCAGCCGAGGCGATCACAAGATTCGTCGAGATAGCAACCAGCTACGGTGGTCTGCCTTTCGCCCTCTTTCACAGACACATTGCATGCATGCTTGAGGAACGCCTTGGTCGAGCGGAGAAGACGTATTTCAACTCGTTGACTTCACATGCCGGTGTGCTGGACTATTTGGAAGGCCGCGGCTTGTCTTTGCCGAAGTAGGGGACGAGGCTGGTTGACCCAGGTACAGATATACCGTCACATGTTTGCATGACTAACTTGGTATCAGGGGTACTCTAAATCCATACTCTCACAATCCAATCTCAAGGTCGGCCGCAGTTCCCAAAACCACACACCGCTCAAGCAAACCCAAGGATCCTATTCGCCTCCTGCAACAGGTTCTTCTCGCCCTTCACCGCCGCCTCATCAATAACGAACGGCGCGAAGCCCATCGCCCGTCTCCCCTGGTCCGAAATCAGGTCTTCTTCCGTCGCCATTCCCACAAATCCCGTCTCCGGCGTGATATCCTTGCCAAAATCGGGCGGCGTTGCCGCGCTCTTGAACGTGTCCCGCTGACGGGCGAGGTAGGCCGCGTTCCGCAGCGTCAGTGGCACGCGGGGATGTACATCACCGACGAGTCCCCAGGGCCGGTATGCTCTTCCTCTAATGAATGCACGACATCTACACCCTCGTACACATTAGCACTCGCTCAACCGCTGCCGAAGCACGCACCGCAGTGCCAGAAAACCATATCCCCCAGCAACACCCTTGGCATGCACGTCATCGTCGTCTCCGTCTGGAGATGCGGATGCGTGTCCTCGGTCAGTTGTATGCTCTTTGTCGGCTTGAGCCCAGGGTAGTGCGCCGTGTCCGGATCATAGTCCCAGTTCTCAGCGAGTAGCGGGTCCAGCTCGGCCGACCTGAGCCTGAAGAATGGCCGGAGGACGACGTATGCGTTCGACCACTGCACGTTGGGGAAGACTTTCAGCGTTCCCTCCCCAGGCCCGGTGTTGGACATTGCTAGCCAGCCCTGCCATGAGCGGAACATGCTCGACTGTCGTATCGTTAGCCACTGTTTGGGACAAGACGACGAACGCGTCCCGTACCTGACCTGGACGCTTGTGCATGTTGCTCTCTGCCCGGATCCGTCCGTCCACAACAAAAGGATCATGGGCCCTCCAATCTCCTTTGAGCACGCTAGCAAAGCAGCTCCTCAGGCTATCGTCCGCCCAGCGCTCGATCTTCGCACCATCGATATGCGGTGGGTGCCGGTCCCACATGCGCGCCGTGCGGATACGGAACCGGTCGGCATACGTCAACGGCGTGGAGAAGGAGATGAGCAGGTTGTCGTCTTTCGGACGAGTCCAGAACTCGTTTAGCGCTTTCTGAACTGCGATTACCTTCGGATGCGAGCGAGCTTGCACTTGAGATTTCGCCCAGCTGGGAAGTGTGAGAGGGGGTTTGATTGGTGCAGGAGGGCACGTACTACATCTGCAGGAACTGTTTGTCCTCCTCGGGGAAGCCGTCCACCTGAGGGTTCGCCTTGATGTATTCTCTTAGCATGCCCTTCCACTTGAGAGCCAGATCGTCGTCGACGATGTTGTGTACGACGACGCTTCCGACCTTTCTGATTTCGTCCCTCTGCGCCTCGCTGAGCTTGTCAAGGTCGCCGGACTCGATCTGTGGGATGATGGTCGGTCCCTTGGCGACGATCTCTTTCTGCGCTTCGGCGAGCGCGTTGATCAGATCTACCCAGCACGCCTTGAGCGCGGCTTCGTCGGACGGGGAAACGATAGATCGTTTCAGCGGGGTGCCATATTCGGCGTCGAAGGTAGGCTTGTCTGCCTCAGCCAGGCGCTCAGCACGGTTCAAGGGAACGTCACCCATTTCGAGATCACAGGAAAGGCAATGAAGGGAGAGCGCAAACAAGTGCTGTAGTCCCAGGGGACGAACTAGTTATAACCCACACCGACATCCCCATTTCAATACCAGTTAACCTCGCTCCTTCATTGTGCCGCGATTACGGGTTTGGGCCATGCGCGGAGGGTCCGGTGCGGAGAAATTCCCCGAACCGCGGGGAAGCGCCGGCGTCTTCGGCCCGTATCTCGGCGCGAACTCTCATTCGCGGACATCCCGCACGACGCATATGCTCGCCGTATGCTTGTCGCCAGTCATCCGCCAACATTGCATTCTTTCCACCAGACACGATGCTCTAATCTCGGGCATTGTCTGGCTGAACTATGGACAGCAGTCGGTGGAGGACCGGGTATATCACCAACCCCATAGAAATGCCTGATAGCTTTCGTGATTTCTTTAAGCTTGGCAGAAACGATCCGTTGCACGATCAAGGCCGTTCCAGGCAATGTAATGCAGTCGATTACTCCTCTACCAATACGGAGCAGCTTGTAGTTTGAGGCCCGCGCCTACTGGCATGGTCTGCAAGCCCAAGATAAATAAGTCATCGGGTCTTCTCAAGTGGACTTGCAGAGATATTAGACGCTTCTCTTACGGACCCTCCGGCCCGATCAGCAAGTCAGGTTCGAGTTCCGCACTTGGCCCCCAAGGCGTTGCCGTTCTGGGGTCTGCCTCACCTGAAGTGACTAGGCTCGCTCTTTGAAATTTTGAGTTCCGGTTCTTGAACAGACAGAGTCGGTTCCACACGCAGAGGTCGTGCATAGCAAGTACAGGAAGAGAGGTCATGAGGTATTCTCAATTTAAATGCGGTATATCAGAGAGTACATGTGGACACGAACACAGGCAAAATGGACGATGCAAAGCAGCGAATGCGAGAGAAAAACAGGGAAAAAGCAAAGACGAACAGAGGATGATAGACTGTCTGGTGCACGCACCGTACAGGCTAGTCTGACAAGATGCGGAGAACAGTACTCGAAAGATCAAAAGAACCGAACAATAGTGTGTTGACTCATCTCCCATAGAATCCGTTTAAAGAGCAACATTCCAGTGAAGCTCTTACCAGGGTCATGCCAATGTCACCCTCCTCTTCCTTACTAGATTAGGAACGCTCAGATCTTCCATCTCCGCCCTCCTGACCTCCTCGACCCAAGCGCTTATCTCCCCTTGCTCGCGCCACATCCCCGGTGGCTCTCTCTGTGTCCAGCAAGCACCTGCCCTCCATCTTCTCGGTGTCAGTTCCGTGTATCTATCGGGTAACCAGGGATCGAGTGAGATGTCAAAAGATAACGAGACAGCGACCAGCGGCTGGGGAGGCGGCAACGGAGATGGAGAGACGGGTGATGGAGGTCGGGAGGCGTTGAGGATTGAGGAGAGACAGGGCGAGGGAGGCTCGTTTATAAACTCGAAGGGGTCACTGTTCTGCGTGAGCGGCGTTAGCGGCACTGTGGAGATGCTCCAGGTCGGACTGGGCGGCGCATCGAGTAGGTGGGGGGAGCCGGAGGAAAGCATGCGTGTCGTATGCGAGGAAGAGGTGAGCAAATCTACGGCCTCTCTCGAGTCTTGGGTGGCTTCTTGTGGCCATATCCGGTATGCGGTATCCAAAGGGCTTACATCCGCTTTAGAGAATACCACTACGAATCCGTCGTCAGCTAAACTACCATTGAGCTGAACAAGGACGTACATTCGAGCCAGGTAGGTAACTTTGATGAAGACGAGTACGGTGTTCCGAGGAACCCGAACGCGGCCTTGGGCATAATGAACTCTAGTCTTGTTATCAGCATCCATGTCTCATAGTATGATTTCAGATCGGAGGAGGGACATACGCTTATTCCTGGAAACGTGGAACGTGCTCTTTTTGCGTTTCCGTTCCGGCTCTGGCGGTTCATCTTGTTGGACTAGCGTTCTGTTAGTTCTGTCCCCGTATAAAGAGAGGGGAACATACGATCCGGCATTCCAGTGGGTGCGTAGCCTAGCATATCCAAGCCTTTCCACTCCGCTCGCTTCCTTAAGCCTATCTCCCTGCTTATCGGAGGAAGCCCGACCATGGTCCCAGTCCCAGTCTCAAGCTCCAGCTTGATGAATACATCTTCCGCCTTCTCCTTGGCTCGCTTGACCATAGTGGCTTCTTCCTGAGCCCTTGGACGTTTCCTCGACCGAACGCGAGCGGGCGTGCGATTTCCTTCAGTTGGATAAGCAGAGATGCCGGTGCTGGCAACGCTAGTGGTAGGGGTGAGAGTGGATACGCTCATACTTCGCACGTCTTCAGGCGAGGACCGAGCTGTAGTTCCGTCTATACTGGTTCTTGCACTGGCACTTGCACTGACGATCGTGTTGCCATCCAAGCTAGCGCGAGCGGTTCCACTGACACTCTTCCTCGATCGCCTCTTCTGGCCTCTCTGGCAGAGTTCTGCTGGTCTGTGGGCGCCCTGATGTTGGTCAGTATGAAGATCGGCAGAAAAAGGGAAGAGGAGCTGGGTCTGCTCGACATCTTTAGGGACATCGACTCGTTGTGTGAATCCTAGCTGCAAGCCAGATCCATTGCATGCAGTTGCGGCTCCTATGACAGCGCAGAATCGCAGCCATAGCCGCACACGTCAAGGGAAGACAGCTCCCAAGGAAAGAAGAAGAAAGAAACGCACCTCATGCGTTATTTCATATTGCGAACAAGCGTTACACAATACCTCCCCCGTAACCCTCCTTGTCCTCCAAAGTGGTGTACTCTGCGTCTGGCAATGGTCGCACATAGGACCCATAATGGTCATGCCGGTTGCTGGGGCAGCTGTGGATGGAGCGGGGGCAGGAGGAGCACCTGGGTTGGATAAGGGGGAACAGGGGAGTACGGACGGAGGGGAGTTGGGTTGAGTTTCTGTTAATAGATTAGCTGGTGGAGACTCGGCGAGACGGAGGGACGGGCGCACCTCGGTCCGCATTAGCTCGCCTCCGCACGGCATTGCTCACTTCCTCTGCATTACCGGGCGTGATAGGCGTAGCAGGTGCTGGAGGAGGGGTGCTTGTATCCATCTCTACTGTCATATCTTTCCGACCGTCATGTATGCGCGTGTCCTGTTGCTCTGGCTCGAATTGCTCCAGCGGTTCATGATCTTGATCTTCGAACTTGTTTCTGGTTCGCAATGGCGAATGCTGCAAGCTTGTGAGAGCGTGCGACGACTGTATGGACATGTGCGCTGATTGCGCAAGCGGCGGCGGGATCGGCATCACTGGTGCTGGTAGCACCAACGGAGGCAGTGTCGGCATGGGTAGCTGTGTATGTGCCTGCTCCGGCATTGGTATCGGTATAGGTATCGGTATCGGTGCAGGGACAGCAGGTTGAGGTTGAGCGCGTCGAGCGTCGAGCGTAGCGTCATGTTGCAGTGTCGCGTTCATCTTTGCCCGCCCTAGCTCGACGGCTCAGTATCGGGCAATTCGCGAAAAAAGAAGCACAAGGAAGTACTCACGTTCATCCTCCTCCAAACTCTTCAGTTTCAACAAGATGTCCCGCTCGCTCGCTTGCTGCGGTAAGCCCGCACATTGTCGGAGATACGCAAGGAGACGGTCCGCTTCGCCAAACGCGAGTCTAATCGGCGTTGCCTGTGGGTCGGCCTGCATCCGGGTCAGATATATGCGCTGCGGGAGACAAAGAAGAAGGTGGAGTAGAAGGAAACGCGTACCAAAGGATCCCAGTGTACTCTTGCCCTCAGGGGTTGGACGTCATAGCATACCCACGCTTGCCCTCCTTGCCATTCCGGTACGGTGCGTAATCGTCCTATTGGATGCGCGCTGGAGTGTAGGGGAAAGAAGAGCTGTGGCGTGAAAGAAGAGGAAGAGGAGGAGGGGGGTAGGGAACGAAGGATAGGTAGGAGGTGAAACGTGTTCCACGAAGTGAGGTCGTATTCGCTCTCTCTTCCCGTCTCTATCTCCCCTCTCCCACTCCTCACCACGCTCGGTTGTCCGACCAGCTCCCTCACCTTGTCTACCCTCTCCCTACTCCCAGATGCACCGCCCCAGACGACACAAGCGACAGTGTGGGACTGACAGTGGACATGGGGTCTCCATGGTTCGAGGGTGCGTGCTGTGACGAGTGTGCCGCGGGTGATGCGGGTGTCGACGGACGCTGTCCAGTTCATGAGAACATAGTGCTGTTGTGGTTGGGGGTGAATGTATGCAGGTGTGTGGGGGTGCAATGGGTGCGACGGTTGAGGATGTTGAGGGTGAACGGTGTCGTGTGGCTGTCGTCGCCTTGGATAATGGAGCGCGACCATCCGCACGTGCTATAGGTGACGTCAGCGACGACGTCACTGTTGTACCATATATCTTCAGCAATATGGGGCGATTGGACGGTCGTATGCCGTCGTTGTCCTAGTCTGACAGTGCGCTGTGAGTGTGCCGACGGACAAGCGCTCCAGGTCTCGGTCATGTCCCTATCCAGCGGGGGCAAACGACATTACTTCAGGGGTTCTATTGCACTATAACAACACATTCAACCGATTAACACCATCTACAAACTAGGCAATTACATATCAGCACACAATGCTACCATTTGACATGGATTCGATATCTATTACGGACTCTGTATCACTTGCGGACTTCTTCGTGAACCCGGTGGTGTTTGCCCGCCCATGTCTTCATCCATGCAATTTTTCAACACCGTGCCTCGGTCGAAAAGAATCTGCAATCGTGCAAAGGCATATACACTAAGTTGAGGCTGAGCTCCCCAACAGCAAGGCTTGACCCTTCTCTCTTTAATCGCCTCCTTGATCTACACCTACGATTGTCCATTCTGGAGTTTGCATGAGCAAACAAGGGGGTCTCTCTGCCGCAGTATTTTCACAGCCCACCCACCTCCGCCTGCACCGTCTCCTCGCGGAATCTGTTGTTCACACTCAGATAGGTTTCATCTAGCACCAGCTTACGAGCAACCCGACTTCACGCTCTCCACAAATCGGACTGCGTTGGATCGGAAGAACCAAGCCGTTTTGCGGAGTGGACCGGGACGGATAAGCTCAGCGGCAGCCTCCAGCACCAATGACCCATTGCCTTGCCGGTGATGAGTGGGATAATGCACTGTTATAGGAGCAGGTTCAGGAGTATCAAACCATCAGAGAACTTATGCCGTTGCGATGTGCAGAAGAGGGGCCAGCCGTAAATGTAATGCACCAGCTCCTATTTATGTATATGTTCCTTCTCAGTGCCTTTGCAGATGCGGTCAAAACCACATCACCCCTTGCTTCAGCAAGAAATGTACAGTATATGGATTGAAATAAATTGTCGCTCCACACGTGGTATATAGGTGACGTCAGCGACGACGTCACTATATACATCTTCAGCAATGGAAAAGTGGACAGGAGACCGGCCCTACCGGCTGTCGACACGCGCTCCGGATCTCGGTCATGTCCCTATCTTTCTATCTCTCTCAATCAACGGTATGATGTCGGGATATGAAATGCTGACAAACTTTGTCAAACGCGGGCATGACCAGCAAATCATATCAATAAACTAGGCGAGGGCGCTTGATGAGTTTCACAAGACTACAATAGGAGTACTCCTATATTGCAGAGGCTGTGGCCTTTTGATCAAGCATGCGCGTCTCAGGTACAAGGCAACCACAAGTATTCTATACCCATACACTAGTACGCGGGAAAAATAACAAGAAAGATTTTGGTGGGATTTCCGTATTGGCTTCCGCACTGGTTGCTTCCATTTTTGGGTGTGGGACACCCAGTCAGGGTTCGCCTAGTGCAAGTTTGATACAATTGACACTGAAAAGCTCATTTCAGCCTCAGCCTTGCCTGAATCCTTTCACCCTGAAGTGAAACCACTCAATTACCTCAAAGCACCACCCTAAACAATGATAAACTATATAGTCCCACAGCTACTCTTGGGATTCTATTATACTTCCATTTTCCTATATGTATATATATGAGCTCTGGGAGCCTTATTGTCAGGGCACCAGCTCATTGCTTGGTCAAGAGACATGACTAAGCCTTTATGACATGGAAGTAGCTGGTATACCTTGGCATGTGCTGGAACCTGCTGGAAGGATTGGATGGTCAGGTGACCTGCTGTGCATGGCTGTGCATGACCTCATATGACCTCATCCTTGGTCATATGACCTGATCACCTGACTAGGCTGAGTAAGCAAGATGTTCTAGCAGGTTCCACCACAGAGGTATAAA